TTTTTTTTTTTTTTTTTTTCTTTTCTCAAGCAGTGGGAAATATCACTGGTTTCTCTAAGAATTCAGCTTTTAAAACTCGTCATTTTCCAAAGTTGGGGGGGTTGGGGGGACCTCAGTGTAAAGTATAGTCTTGACTCCATCTCATGAAGCAAATGTTGGGAGAAGGCAAATCTGAGATTCCAAAGGCAGAGATATGCCTATGCTTCTCATGCACCATGATTTAAACCAAATTACCTCAATTATTCTTACCTGTGAACCAGAACTCTGCAAAAGATAAGAATGTGGGATATGAATCTGAGGGATCAGACAGTCTTAAATTAGATTTGATTTCTAACTTCTACATTATAACCAAAACTAACGTGGGGGGAGAGGTGGCAGGGAGAGCTCTAGGCAGTGTGGTCTCTAATGACTCGTTATTAGTAACAGAGATACACTGTAGAGGGAAATTAGAAACATGGGAAGAAAATATTAAAATAATGGAAAACACAGAACTAAAATCAGCCAGAAAGAGGGAACATCAAGGAGGCGGCCTGCAGGAGTCGTTAGAGTGCAATGTTGGGAGAAAAAAAGGAGAAAAGGCAGGTTAAGTCATCAAGATACGGAAGTGATACCTCGCAGAGAGCGGTTGGACTAAAGAAGCCAGGTGAGGGGACGGGGGTTGGGGGCGGGCGGTGGTAAAGCACAGGCTTGGGGGTGAGCCTGGCTCTGGGGCAAATCCTAGCTCTCTCAGTCCCCTCTTCTGTGACCCGATGCAGGGTACTTCACTCTCTGAACATGGATATTAACAGTGCCTACTGCACGATCTGCTGTCCAGATCCCTTGAGCTAATCCAGAGAGAGCACTTAGCACAGTGCATGGCACATAGTATGTGTTCAGTAAATCCCTGCTGTTACTATTAGCAATTACTACATTTAAATCCCGGCCCTGCCACTTGCGAACTGCATGACAGTGAATAAGCTGCACACCCTCCCTGAGCTTCAAAAACCCCACAGATACAGCGGGATGATGACGGCCGTCCCCGCAAGATTGTGAAGGTCAGTTGAGGTAACCACACATCTGGCACAGTCTACCACTGGCACGAGTAATCTCGGCAGTCCTTGCTGCAGGGGTGGCTGCTGTCATACTGAGGAGGGGGCCGGAGAGGCCTCCAGAGCTGGCAAAGGACACCCTTCGATTAGACTGAGAACTCCATTTCTAAAGGCCACTGGGTGTTCTCCCTGGTTCCTTTCAGCTGCAAAGTGCTGACCTCCCCAGGAGTAAGGACCGGGCAGACGGCTGCTTCAACCAAAGCGAACACTTACCTGCAATTTCTGTGTCTCCGCTTTCGGGGGCACCTCTGTGGCTTCGGCAAAGGCAGCACTGAGCTCTTGGATTTCAGCGTTAAGGTCTCCCACCTGGGTAAGAACAACAGCAGCCGAGTGTGCACGACTCTCCTCTCTGTGCACAACTCAAGCGCTCTCCCTGCTGAATTTCTCATCAAGGGCTTCGTAGTTAGGGAAGACGTGAAGTCAGAAAGGGGGCGACTTCCACTTTGGCCGCTGAAGAGCTGGATAACCTCAGGCAAGGTACTTAATCTCTCTGAGACTCAACTCCCACAGCTCGAAAATGAGGACACCACGACTCACCCACCTCTGGCATCGTTGGGCTAAATGAAGTGACGGGTTCTGGCGCTAAAACCACACCCGGCTGAGGCGAAGCACTACTCTCATCGGCGTCCACAGAGATGACCCAGCCAACGACCTGGCCTGGCCATTCCCACGATCTCGCATCCTCTAGTGACCTTCTCCCGTACCCCGGTCAGCAGTGACTCCCGTGGCCACGCGCCGGACTTCACCGGCACCCAGAACTGCCCCTCCGCCGGTCCCACTCCACGCTGAAGGTCTCCAACTCCGGCGGTGCCCGAACTCCCATGTTACGCAATGACATAAGCTAGAACTACTGGTATCAGGAGCCAAAGCTCCGCCACGCCTCACACCGGTAATCCCTCAAACTCTGCCCCGGTTACCTTCCTCAGCGCTACACTCTCCTGGGTAGCTCTGCCCTCCTGCGGCCACTCCTGGCTCCTTCGTGCATTTCTCTCCCCGTCCCTGAAACTCTGATGTCCCCCGTGGCCCCGTCCTCAGCCTCGTCCTCTGCCTGCCACACGCTCCCTGGACAGGGAGGCCTGCTCTTAGAGTCTGAACTCACACCTGAGCTCTCTCCAAGCTTGAGACCTGCACGCCTGCCTGCCGTCTGGACGCGCCACCCTGACGGTCCACGAGCTCCTCAAAGTCAACGCTCTCTGAACAGATGCGTCACCTCCATCGCCACACGCACCTTGCCATTACAGTCCGTTTTCTCTGCTGTCCACTGAATTGGTGGCACCTCCATACCCCAGTCAGGCCACCCAGACACCCGGAAGTCATCCTCCACTGCCCCTTCTCTCAAGTCCTACATCTCTGCAGCAAACTTCCCCAGATCCACCTCTACTCTCTAATTATTCCTGGCTATTTCTGGTCTCATTTCCCAAATAAGCCCTGTCCTCCCACTCCTACTTAGCGGTGGCCACTGCTCTAGCTCAGTCTTTCTAGGCTCTCGCCTCTGCTACCGGCCTCCCTGCCTCCATCCTCTCCCTCCCGCAATTCTCCCTCCAGATACAGGCTGAGACCCCGCCAAAGTGCAAACGTGGCCACCCCCCTCCTTTTAGAAGCCTGCAGCCCCAAACGACTACTTGCGCCCCCACCGGCTGGCCCCATGCGACCTCACAGCTCCTCCTTGGCCTCACTTCAGTCCTGCACCTGGTGCGCTGACCACCTCGAAATGCCTTTGGTTCCACAAACCCCCATCAGGCTCTTTCCTAACCTACTGCCTTAACCAGCGTTCTCCCCTCTGCCTTCCCTTCCAGCCCAACTGCTATTCATCCTGCGAGATATGACTCAGACACCTTCTCCTCCAAGCACCATTCCCCACATACACACCCGAATCGGGGCCAGGCCCCCCGCCCTCCACTTGCACGGCGCCCCCTCTCCCCCACACGGCCCTCAATCACCACACCTTTGCCCTGTGTTTCGCCCTCACCAGACCTGAGAGCACAGCTGGGTTTTCTTCTCTGTATCTGTGCCTGGCTCAGTTACTGAGAAACAGCAGACTGCTATACGAACAATAATTAGGGAATAATAATATTATGGCACGGAACCATCACTGGCCGCAACCTTGGATCCCAAAGGCAACGACCCAGGGAGCTAACTGTTCACGGTCATGGCCTCGCCTCCCAAGTCCTTCATCTCAACCTTGCCATCTTCCTAAACGACTGGGCATTATCCAACAGGGTGGCCATGGGCCACCTACCTGTGTGGCTGGACACTTGAAATGTGGTCAGTCTGGAACGAGACGTGCTACAAGCACACACGGGCTTCAGAGATGGCATTAAGGCCAAAAAGACGTTAATAGCTCATTACTACTCCTGTTTTATTGATTACATGCTGAAATGATGGATGTATTATCGAAGTTAATTTCACTTGTTTCTTTTTACTTCTTTTAACGTAGCTCCTAGAAAATTCCAATGTCCCCACGTGACTCACACAGTATGTTTATTGGATAGCACTAAATCGGACACTCCAAAAAAGTTTCAAGTGGACTAAAGGACCCTTTCCGCACTTCCTATGCTCATCCCAGCTGTCTTATAAACTTTTCCCCCAAAGCTAAACGTGCAGGGACACGACAGGCCAGCCACAGAAGCTAATAAAGAAAAATCTCGCTTTGAGTGTATCAGACATACCACATACCTCTTTTTCCTTTGACTTTAATGCCATGGTTAGACCCTGAATGGCTTTGTCCCTCTTTAAACTATTTTTCTTTTCTGTAGCAATCTCTCTTTCCTTCTCTCGCAGGTCCTCCTGAAGTGCCTAAATTAGATTAGAAAAAGATTCACTAAGCTGATGCGTTCCAACCAAAATGCACTGTAAATATATCTGTGAGAGCACACTCAAACGCAGTTATTCTATCTTATTCCTGTCACCCTGTGATTAATGTTCCCAAGTAGAGCTGAACGCAGTGGCGGCAGCTCCCAGTTACGCTGTTAGCGCTCACGGCAACAGGGCCGGGCGACAGGAAGGGGATCAGATCAGTTAAGACGATGACAGCTACTCCTGTGGGAAGGACTCCAATGCCTCCTGGAATTTGAATGCAGTCACATCAGAGGCTTTGAAACCGTACCAGGTTATTTGGGGGAAATAACAGATCATTAATTTCATTCCTTAATGCTACAAAAGCCAGCAGAGAATTTGGTTTGATGGAGACTGAACATATACATTTCCGGTCTGAGTTCATCTCTAAAGATAATCACGCTGCCTCCCTCCCGGGCTATTGCGAGGATCAAATGAGATAATGGACGGAGAGCACTTTCTAAGCTGGCAGGCGCCTTATAAAATGCCGGCCGCTGTGAGCGGGGGACCCAGAGCGATGGTTTTGGAACCACACTGGCAGGTCCGGATCCCCGCGACACCTCTTCCAAGCTACACGATCTTGGGACAGGGCCCTCCCCTCGCTGAGCCTCACGTGCCCCATCTGCACAATGGGAATGCCTACTTCACAGAATCACTGCCAAGACGGAGAAACCTTCTCTGAAGTACCGAAAGCCTGACTGGCACACGCCGGCATTCCATGAGTGACAGCTGCTGTCACGCCCAACTGTCTACTGCACTCAGAATAAAGCAAAGAGGCAAGGATAAATCTTCAATACGTTTTTAAAAATTTTATCAACATACCTGGATCCTCTCTTCAAAGCGCTGTCTCTCCTTCTGGAGCTCCATTTGTACAGCCTAAGAAAAGGCATTAATTGGCACCTGGAAGGGACTCCCAATACAACAGCTTCCCCAGAACAATTAGAATGAGCATCTCATTTCCGGACTTTTCCGCACTGCCGTGGAAGGCACGGAAATAAGTGCCCATTCCTCTCTGTCTCACCTGGAGTCCCACCCGAGTGAAGAGAAACGGAAAAACAAGCAACCCACACGGATGGATCGCCAGCCCCACAGACAGTCAACCACGGGGCCGCCGACAACGAAAAGGGCAGCTAAAGAAAGGGCCCAGGGTTAAAAAGAGGAGCAGCGGGGGCGCCTGGGTGGCTCAGTCGGTTGAGCGTCCGACTTCGGCTCAGATCATGATCTCACGGTTTGTGGGTCCGAGCCCCACATCGGGCTCTGGGCTGACGGCTCAGAGCCTGGAGCCTGCTTTGGATTCTGTGTCTCCCTCTCTCTCTGCCCCTCCCCTGCTCGTTCTCACTCTCTCTCT